TGGATCCATACAGTTACAGATTCCCACTTGGACTTTATCATTGACAGATACCTGCAAACAGCCAAGAGTGTGTGTTTGATCGGCGGCCTGGACTGGGTCCACGTTGACTTTGACTCGTGAGCCTGAATTTCCGAGCTTCTGTTGACCTTTGACTTTCCATGGTCAACTGTCGCACGGAGGCCAGTTTTAGGCCTTGCTTCAGGTGCCCCACCGTAGCAGGCCTTCGTTCAGGCAGTTTTCATGGCTTGGGTGTGACCGTTGACCCCTATCTCGGCCCTTAGACCAAAATGACGACCCTTAGCCCACGACTGATGCATGGTTTGAGCTGAGTTATTGCAATCTCTTCATTTATATGTGTCATCCTTGTGCAGGGATCACGTTAATATTATCTGCATCGTTCCAATGTTAACGGATGTCCTGAAGGAGGGAATGGGGGCAGGAGAAGATGTATGCATGCAGTGCCTGTGCAAAGAGGACGGGATAGGTCAAAGAGAGCGCTGCCTAACCGGACCGCAGTACAGTGGACATAACCTCTCTCCACACGCCAGTCCAACATACGGTGCCATTGGACCAATCAGAACAAAGGATGGGAAGAAGGTGGGAGAAAGGATTCAAGGAAGAGGGAAAGGATGGCGCAAAGATGCAAAGCGGGAGAGAAAAGGGGAGAAGACACTTGAAGTTTTGCACAAAAAGCGGAAGACGGAAAGGTGCAAGAAAGATAAAGGCGCTGCTGGCAAGAGGAGCAAGCCAGCAAGCGACCATGGGCAAGCAGAAAGTGAGATTTCAAGAAGACGCAGAAAAGAAAAAGAAAAAGCGATGGAAGAAAGTGGGAGAAGCGGTGGAGAAAAAGATGGCCGGTGCCTGTATTGCGATATGCAATTGCGTGCACCAGACCAAAAACAAATTAAAAAACTTGTGCGTGCTCGCTAAGGCGTGAGAACTTGAGAAGAGGAAATACGAACAGGAAGTTCCTTACGGAAAGCAAAAGAAAGCAAATGCCTTAACTATCCATTGTGTGATGACCCGACCAAACACAGACTGAGACACACAGCTGATTTCTGAGTTTTGCTCATGGACTGAATATCTTGCTGAGTTTCCCGCTTGCTACTAAGTTCTCTAGTCTGTGTGTGGGCACGCTTGCTGGTCTGCATGTCTGGCTGAGTGTTTGTTGGCTTGAGTGTGTGTGTGACCCGCAAGGGCACTTGTTCGTTCGTTGGGCCCTCAGGGCTGGTACTTACCTATGGCCATGACATTGAGGGTTGCAGCAGGGGGAAACACTCTAGTGGCCGGGGAAGAGGCCCGCAACACTTGAAGCAGCGGGGAAACACTCAAGTAGCAGGTAGGCCGTTACCACACCCAGAAGAGGTAGATGTGCCGGGTACTCGAGGCCAAGCAGAAGAAGACAAAAGTTGGCATTTTTAGAGGCCCAGTAGTTATAGGCTAGGTCTAGGCGGGTACCAGTCCAACCAGTCTGAGTCTAGGGCCTGTACGGGCAATATCAGAGTCTGCAATGATGTTTCCCTCCGAAAGGGAGGAGGTACCGGTTGCTGGGAAGGCCGAGCGGCCTGGAAGTCACCGCCCAAGAGGCAAGCAGGACGCTATATCTCCAGGCCGTGCGAAGAGCCCAGCCTCATTGCCGGTGTGCAAGTTTGGCGACACACTGGTTGGAGCGCTGGCTGGAGCAGCGCTGCTGGGGAAGGAGCAAGGACATGGCAGAGGAAGAAGACCAGGAGGAAGGGGGAGCGCCAGAGGTACTTACCTGGCTCTGGTGGCAGCCATCTTCATCACCTTGGTGGGCGCTGCAGCAGGAAAGTCCCCGTCGGGGCAGAGCTACACCAAGAAGCTTCGAGGCAGAGTCAGGCATGGCGGCCTGAGCTAGAGCAGCCATAGCTGCTTCGTGTTGTCCTTTGGAGAGCCGGGCCATGCCCCGGTACCCCGCCATAGCCTCGTCCTAGGAGGAAGAAGGAGAGAGGCGGCCATGGCTATGGTGGACCTCAAGTGATATCTGCAGTAGAAGAGGGATCCGGACATTGATTCTGGTTCAGCCATTCAACATTGTATTATTATTTCTTGTGTGCATAAGAGAGTAGGAGATAAGGAGGCGGGGAGTGATTGGCGAAGAAGAAGAGCATTCTCATTGGTCTATGCTGGTGTACATCATCTTCTTCTTCTTTCTTCCTACTTCTTCTTCTTCTACCCCTCTCTCTCCTCTCAACTTCATTCATTTCTTTTTGCAAGTGGACGGCATTGTACTATCTGATGAATGTGTATCTCGAAATTCGCCAGGATCATAACAATTGCAGAAAAAGAACGAAAGAAAATGGATCTCTGCGAAGTTGGAAAAAGGTCAGTGGTAACCCGACAATTTGAACATCACTAAAACACAAATCCTGCGGAAAACAAAAAGGAAGGGGTGCAGAAACCGGTGCGTCCAGTAAGCAGATCATCACACTGTGCCTCTCCTCCTCAGGGAGGCCTTCCATGTGACACATCACACTGTGCCTCTCCTCCTCAGGGAGGCCATCAGTCAGTTACAGGGGTCTTCCGACTTCATCTTCCTACTTGATTGATGATGATTTTGACTTCCTGACCCTGTGTGGAGGTGGAGGTGACATGTAGCGGCGTGACCAGCTTCGTCCCCTTGTAACTGACTGATGATTTTTATTTTTATTTTTTATGATGTTCTTGATTACCTGTGTGGCAGTGTGTGTTTATTTTTCGAATTATTTGGATTCTTGTACTCTCTTCGTCATGTTTTGAAGGTGCAAACTACCTGATTCCGAATATTTCCAATCAATTTTATACATAAAATGAGTCTGGGTGGCTTTCCAGCCAGTTGGTTTTGAAGATCAAAGACTTGAAGCCAGTTTGTGCTTTAATTCAGGGCATATTTGTCGTGTGTCATATATTTTCTTCTCATCTACGAAGGGGGAAGGAATTTCACAGACTTTCCTATCATTTTCTTCTCCCTAATCTTCTGTCTGGGAAGACTCATGTTTTTACATGCATTTGGTTGGTATTAAATTTAAAACCCTTGGCCATATTTTGTGGACCGCCGCAGAACGATTTTCGTGGGAACAGGGTAAGTATCAGCCGTCTGCTGTGATGAGGTGCAGTAGTCTGCTGTCTGGTGAGTTCTGCGGTGATCCAGATTTTAAACTGCGATTTCACATCATCTAATTGATGGGGTTGCAATGATGCATTTCCATCATCGCTTGTTTGTTGGGATATTCGATGAGCGAGTGCTACGTTCTAGCAGTGGATTGTACATCGTGCCATATTCTGTGGACGGCAGCAGAACGATTTTCGTGGGAGCTGCGTAAGTGATCAGTTGGCTGCTGTGGTGTGGGGTAGTTGCCTGCCATGCGCAATGGTGAGTTCTGCTGTCATCCAGATTTTTAACAGCCATTTGACATCATCTATTGATTGTATTGCAATGATACATTTCCATCATCACTCGTTTGCTGGGATATTCAATCACTGAGTGCTGCGTTCTAGCAGTGGATTGTAGATTGTGCCGTGGTGTGGTTATGCTTAATGGTGAATTCTGCTGTGATCCGGATTTTTAACAGCCAGACTGAGCCAGTTCACATCTTCGATTGATGGGGTTGCAATGATTCACTGGGGTTGATATTCTATAGAGCATTGCCAGTCCTCGTGTGTATTACTTTTCCCATCTTCTGATGGTGGTCTCATTGTTGGGAATTCTCGTGTATTACTTTCCCCATCTTCCGATGGCGGTTTTGCAAGGCGTTTGGTCCTTGTTGTCTTTTAATTTTTAAACCGCCAGTAGCTTTCCCATATATCGGCTGCTGCGCTCCTCGCCGCAACTTTCGGAGGCCCGAAAAGTGACATGGGCCGCCAATGAAATTTACCAACAGCGGCCCGGCCCCAAAAGTTGTGGTGGTTATCAAGCCGCGTATTTGTTTTTCAAGCGGGGAAAGGTACTGGCAGTTTAAGAGATTGCTGCGGGTGCAGAGGGGGGAATATTATATCAATGACCTGGATTGTGGAGTTCATTGGTTGTGCGGTTGGAGGCGTCCCTGGGTTTGGAGGGGGCATAGTGATAGTTTCGCATCGGTGCTATGCAGCAGAGTAGAAGGGTAGTCGTCCGGCAAACCAATTTCGCCATCAGGTGGGGCCATGGGGTGCATTCATTCCACTTGATGGGATGGCACCGTAGGTGGGATGTGGCCCCTATTTTTCAGTTTAGGAGGTAGTAATCCCGTAGGGTGCAGCAGAGCAGAAGGAAAGTTGGGTGGAGGGATTTTGCCATCAGGTAGGGGCATTGGGGGAATGCATTCCACTTCATGGGTTTTGGAACGGAGGTGGGATGTGGCGCATAATTTTCAATTTAGGAGGGCGGTTCATGGGCAGTTAATGTCGCTGTAAGCGGACAATCAATACTGTTCTCCTCGTTATAATTTAGCTCCTTTCTTGTAAAAGCGACGCTGGCAGGGGTAGGTGCAGCTCACCACCAAATAGATTGGAGCTATCTACACAGAATAAAATTAGAGGGGGGGGAAAAAAGACATGTACATAGTACATGTAGTACATTGTACATAGTAAATACTACTAGAAGCATACCTGGTACAGAGTAAAATGAAAGGGAAAAGAAAAAAGGAAAAAAAAAGAGCGTACATACTATGTAGTATGTAGTACATTGTACATAGTACATACTACTGGAAGCATACATAGCACTCATGCATTTGTACATAGTACATATCAGTCGAAGCATACGTAGTACTCATGTACAAGTGTACATAGTATGCTTCCAGTACTATGTGTACTATGTGTACTATGTGTACTATGTGTACTATGTGTACTATGCGGACATTCCCGCTGCACAGCAAGAGTGAGCCAACCAGGAATACCAGAGAGAGACACTGACAGACAGGTTGGTTGGAAGATGTGAACAATCAAAAGAGTGCAGGACCATTTTAAAGGATAGAATTGAGTACATCTATATATACGACTGGAGGATGGGGCAAGATGCTTACTGGCCAACGCATTATAGAAATCACGGCCCAGGAAACTGAAAGCAACACTGATTCCAGTCGTCGCAAGGGTGAGTGCAAAAACTGCTGCCAGTCTCAGTCGTGCTTGAACTTTGTCTTCCGAGTTCCAGTAAGGTTTCGCCACGTGGAGGAAGCGATGCCACAATATCCAGCCAGTAGAAGTAATAGCAGTAGAAGAACTTCTCTGCATCCAACACTCTAAACCAGATCAGATGATCAGAGCATTCCAAAAATTTGAAATTCATTCAGTGAAACACATAACCAGAAGGGGAAAAAATGCTGCTCACCTCCCAAGCACTCAGTGCACCGAACCCATCGCCTCTCCCCACCTCCACCTCAGCCTCCACACTTGACAAACACATGCTCTACTTCCCAATGCAAAGGAATGGACCATCATTTTCTTTTTGCTTTTGGGACGATCATTTTCAAAATGGAACCTGATGGTTCTGACCGAAAGTGACACTACGCTCTCTCTCTCTCTCTCTCTCTCTCTCTCTCTCTCTCTCTCTCTCTCTCTCTCTCTCTCTCTCTCTCTCTCTCTCTCTCTCTCTCTCTCTCTCTCTCTCTCTCTCTCTCTCTCTCTCGGTATGCAAACCATAATGGCAAGTTACCCAACTTATCTGTGGGTATCACGGGACCCTTACTCCTCCTCCCTTTTCACATGTAACCCCATTTCCCAGAGGGACATATAGAGTGGTGAAGGGGTATTATTGTGGGCGGGTCGGCAGCCGACCCCCGACCGGTAAGTGCCGACCAGCCGATCGGTCGGCGGGTCAGCAGCTGACCAGTCAAGGGCCACCGACCGTCGCGGGGTGCAACACTGTCGTCCACTGACTAAACTGATGGAGTAAGAAAAAAAAGAAAGGAAAAGCAGATGGGGCAAGAGGAAGAAAGAGAAGGAAAAGCCCTCTGACAGAGGGGATGTACACTATCGACTTTCCTGGACGCATCTGCGTATAGTTACGGCCAGGCCAGATGCAGTCTAAAACTGCGGGGCGCGAGTCTGACCTGAGCTGAAGGGCAAGAGGAAGACCAAACAAGAAGAGCATCATACTCACAGTGAATCTCCTGTCAATCAATCTGGACAAGAGGGCTGCCTTAAAGACCAATACATCCATGCCCTCTTTTGTACGAGGTAGATTCCCACCAGCCATTTTGGTCCGGTTGTCCCGAGCCTCCCATTTTTTCTGGGAGAGGCTCAATTATGATGCTCAAGTTGGCTGGGGCCATGTACTGGGGGTTTAAGGCCCAACATTTTATCATTTGCCTTCTATATAGTTTGAGAGGGCTGTGAGAGGCGACCCTCTTCTCCCCCATCCCTCCCATTCTCTATCACACTACCAAATCTACCATCGCAGATCTTAGCGGAACCCAGGTAATGGACCTCGGTACCCTCGTTGTTTTCACATTCATAATCGAGGGCAAGGTCTCCGTAAAATGGGAGGGAGCGTCACTCTGCAAAGGCGTCATCATGGAGGGCAGTCAGTGTCCTTGTAGGGAGTGAGTGCAGAGTAGGGGTGTGTTCTACCTTGATCTTGCGGGTGGTGGGTGGATTTACAGGGTCTGCTGACCGGCCACCGGCGGGTCCCTGCTGCAAGGGTGGCAGGGTAGTTTCACTGGAATAAAGGTGATCTAGGCATTGGAGCCTGTGATTGAACACATATATTATTATACCTATAGAGTACGTTGGGCAAATGCAGACTTGCATACAACTGAGGCTACCGTCTTCACCCGAATAAAATGCCCGGTCATTATTAATACCTGTACATGGTCCCACAGGGCCTCCGTCCAGGAGCACGAAATTATGCTCATGCCCACAAACCGGGCAGGCAAAATTGGGTGTGCACCTGTGGTGCCTAAGTCACCCGGCCAAGTGACCCAGGCACCCACCTGCACCGTGTACTCAAGAAGGTCTGAAATGGGGTTCAAGTTTTTGTTTTTGTGAGGATATTTAGCGCTCACAGAGATGTCTCCAAATCCGGTGTTTTTGGTTTTTTTTTGGCATGTCTTTTTTTTTTTTTTCCCGTTCCAGCTTCAACCTATCTTTCCACGTCTATGCACTCATCCAACACACAGCTTCATCTTGAATGTATTCAAGCTATCTTTCCGGTACGATGCAGTCATGATGAGGGTGCATTGTCTTCCGGGGAGGACAGGTAAGTAGGCCAATAGAGACCATCCGCGGATGCATACCTGACCAATCAATCCACGGCAAGTTTTATTGGATGCAGTCATCTGGTGCACAGGCTCATCTTGAACATACTCAAGCCATCTTTCCGGTTTGTCTTTCTCTCCGCTCTCGACTCTCTCTCTCTCTCTCTCTCTCTCTCTCTCTCTCTCTCTCTCTCTCTCTCTCTCTCTCTCTCTCTCTCTCTCTCTTACACACACGCACACACATGTATATCTATATATGTCCTCATATATATGTACACCAAAAGGAAAAGGAAAAAAAGTGCACATCCAACAAGGGAGTACGTTATATTGTTTTAATTACATTTCTTATCATCGAACTAATAACGAATTTCCGAATGACCCTCGGCCAAAAGTATGGTAGTGTAGGTGGAAGCCATAGAGCTGCGGGGTCTTGGGTACAGGCCCGCAGGCCAGACAGCTGTAAGCTAAGTTGGATTATGCTTCCAGTAATCCTGACCCGGTGTAATGTTGAGGGCCCCGGCCCCGAGTTCGAAGAAGAACTGGAAATTTGAATTTTGAGGGGAGAGGGGGGGGGAGAGAAGTTGTTCCATTTCTCATGGTACATTACATAGTTCTTTTAAGATTTTTTCAAAATGCCGGTCACCCGGGTCTGACGCCCGGGATACCTGGGCATGGGGCAAAAAAAAAAAAAAATGGCGGTGGGTTTTTTCCGCACTCTCCGAGAGGAGCCCAAATACGGGCTCTTTTTCCTTTTTTGAGTGTTGGCTGTCAAGGGGGGGCTAATGGGGTTTAAAGCGGGGTGTGTCTTAGTGTGATTTGGTTATTTTCTTTTTTATCTTCAGTTCCTTTACGAATTCTGATGTTACCCTCAGCCAAAAGTTGTTTGTATTGCAATTCTACACAACATTTTGTTTTTCAGATTTTTTTTTTTTTGCGCTGGGGCTGCCCGGGGGTCATGCCCGGCCGGTCACCCGGTCGCCAAACCAGGCGTGATGTTGGGACCCGGGCGCCCGGGATATCTCCCTAGTTTTTTTGCACCAATGGGCATGAGGTGGGCCAAATTTGGCGGGTCCCGTGCCAGACTGACCCGGACCTGACCGGCCTGCCTGTAGCACAGGTGTGCACAAAATTTGCTTGGACGTAGGGGTATGTCCATAATTTGGACATTTCAAGGCCAGGGCGGGTCACACAGGTGGGCCTTCGGGCAGGTCCCGTGCCAAACCAACCCCGACCGAGCCGCCCCCAACCGAGCCGCCCGGCCGGTAACACACGTGTGCCCAAAATTTGCTCATGTATGTCCATAATTTGGGGATGGGTATCCTCTATTTGGTGGTACCAACCTTGGTCCACCTCTGTCCGGCGCATGGACATGGACATCATTTCCAAGACAAGTTGGGCTGGGACCGGGCAAATTCCCATCTTTGAACAGGGTACAGATGCATTTTTTCCCTTTCTTTTTGCACAAAGCGGACCTGTCAACTCTTTATTGTTTTTTGGGAAAAATTGCGAAGTGCCCCTGAATTCTCCGCTTATTTGCGATTTGCCCTCGGACGTCCATTTTTTCCTGATTTGCCCCTGGGGCCTCTGAACTTTCGTGCAGGCCCCTGTCAGTGAGGGGCCCAACTTTTTGGAATGCCCCTACTGGACCTGCGGTCCTATTTCCTGTGGTGCCTGTCCGATTTGCCCTCCTGGGGGGCATGCATCTTTGTGAGATGCCATTGAACAGGGAGGCGCCAACAGTTCGAATTCGAACTCTGTACTTTTCCACTCCGCCGCCAAAAAAGCAGGGCTGCACTCTGCGTCGCCCTTGCACCTGCAATCCACCGCCGTGGAGTTCGTTCGCCTTCTGCTGCGACACACCAACTTCCACGTCCTCGACTTCGACATCCTCGGAGTTTGTTCGCAAAGGTCTGTGTTTGCGAAGGAGTGTGTGCGTGTGTGAAAGCCACAGAGAGAGAGAGAGAGAGAGAGAGAGAGAGAGAGAGAGAGAGAGA